CATTACTACCACAGAGCACCACTCCCATTTCATAGATGACCTGGGGCAGGCCACTTGGGGACAGGTTCCAGCAGATTCCAGCCAGTGGACTTGCTAGTACCCCAGGCAGCCTTTTGCTACACATCACAGAAGCAGCTGCAATGACTGCTGAGGTTGCTTGGCTGGCAGAAATGGAAGGAAAAAGAAAAGGAAGCAGCTGACCAAATGTTCCTTCCGACTGACCATGGAGCTGCAAGCTCTCAGTTGTCTGCCAGCTTCCGGCTGACCAACAGAGAGAAGCATATCTACAATGAGAGAGTAGCAGCCACCACACAGCCCCTCTACACTCATTCGTCCTGACTCCAGGCAAGCCAACACACACTGCAGTAGGATCTTCCCTGCACACCTTATCAGTGCCTTAACTCGCCATCACAATCACAACTGCAGCTGCCTGCCTTTCTGATGGACAAGGTGCTTGCCCATGAGCACTTCATCAATTATTAAACTATGCTCAGACTTGTTTTGACCACAGCTGCTACGTGATCTGTGATCCCCCATTTTTAGCAGCCAGGTAGGAGGCTTCCTAAGGGTCACTCAGCAGCCCTTGCATAGAAGCCACGGCAGGTGCAGACAACCGGACAGCTTCCGTGTTTAAAGGTATCAGCACTTGTAACACAGAGAGGCAGGCGGACTAACTTGCACCTGCACCTCCGGAAGGCAATGGAAAGAAAAAAAATTCCACGGGGATGACAGCTTCCAGCCCTTGACCTGGTGCTAAAAACAGGGGCCAGGAAACCCAGCACAGCCCTCTTCCCTGCTCCGCAACACGCCCCTGCCTACTCTCCCGTTCAGGACATTTCAGGCCTGAGTGTGACCCGAATTTGAGTTCTCAAATCCGAAAAGCTCTGAGAAACCTCAATCACAGCGCCAACACCATTCCATACAAGGGGTGGAGGTGCGAGTCCTTCCTGGCCCTTCTCCTCGGAAAACTCAAATCAAGGACGAGATCTCTTGGGTCTTCCCTTGCCCTAAACACACACACATTCCTCACACACAACATACACACTTGCTGACCCCACACCCGTGCACACCGCATCCCACACACACATGAACACTTACTTGCTCACCCCAGCAGGCTAGCCGGCCCCCACAAGGGACACCTACCAAGTCGCACACCTGCACACCTGCCCCTAAGTGTACAGCCACTTGCTCTCCCCACGCCGCGTTCCAGCCCCCACTACACCTGCCCCAGCGCACACTCACGGGCTCGCCCTCCACCCGCCCCGCCGCCTGCCCCCCGCCCTCCTGACCCCGCTCTCCTGCCCCACGCGCCCCCGTGCCCCGCACCCTGCGACCTGCTGCCCTCCGCACTCACCGGCGCCGGCGCCCCGCCGCCCCGCGCCGCCCCGCGGCCTGGGGCCCCGCCGCCCCGCTCCGGCCCGCGGCTCCTGGGCTGGCCTGGCCCCGCAGCCGCCGCTTCCCGTCACGTGGGGCGGCCGCCAGGGGCTGGCGGAGGGCGGGAGCGCAGCCGTCCCCGCGCTGCCCGCCGTCCCTTGGGCCCTGCCGCCTGGCTCCGCGCGCAGGCCAAAACGGGCCTTACTCCGGGCCTCGGCGTCCCCCTCCGTGTACCGGGTCCACGACACGGCCCGCCTCGCGAGGCGGCCGGCGGGCGGGAGGTGTTCATTCGGGGGGCGCTGAGGCCGCCGCCCCCGGGCGAGCGCGCGGTCCGCGCCAGCTGTGGGAACTGAGGTCTCTCCTCCGCCCCCGCCGCCGCGGGGAGCGCCAGGGAAGCCGGGCTTTGCCTGGCTCGCTCGCCACCCAGATTCTGACACCAACACAGGAGGAGGGCGCTCGGGAAATACCTGCTGAATGAAGACTGAATGAATGAATCCTGGGAAATGCTTGGGCCCGCGGCCGCCTGACCACGCAGGATGGAGGCTCGGACGCGCCGCCGGTGCCCCACTAGGAACTGAAGGAACGGTCGGGAAGCGAAGTCCTCTCCCGAGGCGCCCCAGGGCCCCAGGAACTGACTGGGACCCCTGACAGGAGGAGGCCACCTGCGTGATACACTTATTTGAGAAGGGAGGCCTAGGACTATCTTCCTCCTTTTAGGAAATCCCAATTGTAGCTTCCTTGGGGTCAGGCCGCAATGAAGAATTGTAGGTTACCATGAATCCATGAACTCCTCTTCAATATATAGTCAAAGTCCAATTTCATGATGAAAGAATTGGAAAGCTCCCTCCAGAGTTGTCAGTACTCAATTATTAGCATATAGACAGGCAGGTTTTCCCAGTGATTTTCATACGTTAGGACCTGCTAGTGACCCATGACCTCAGCTTTCTTCCAGCCAAGCTGCCTATTGTAAAACAAAGATGTTATCCCAAGCCTGAAGGCAGATACTAGATTCTACTCCATGGTCTTCCTTTTCAAAGGGATTAAAAAGAAAGAAAAAAGAAAAAGGACCATCAACAACCTTCCTATGACCTGTCCCCCACCCCTACCCTAGTGTGATTCATGGCAACATAAATGCCCCATCCCCAGTGGTGCTTCAGCTCTGACCCAATGGAACCAGTGTCACCGGCTCAGTCTCCAGGTAGGGGGCTGGCTTCCCAGGAGTGTAAAGATCTGACCAGCAACTGAGCTTCAAGGGCAAGCAGCAGTGAATGGACCCTCAAGTCTAAGGTGGCCAACAGCTAGTGGAGCCAAAGATTGGGAAGGTACAAGAGCAAATCCAGTCTCCTCATTTTCCCCAGGGTCACAGAGACTATGTGACTTGTCATCAACTAATCACTGGCTCAGCTGAGCCTAGAATTCACCCTTGTGCTTTTGTATTTTAGTCCTCCACCAGATCATATTACAGAGAGCTGCACAAGACCAGTTACAGAGGTGATGTCTACTGACTGCCAGACGCTGACTTCAGAAACTGCTAGTGACTGAGCAATGAAGTCGACGCTATTAATTTACCATTTTACAGATGAGTTGATTGAGGCAAAGAAAGGTAAGTTACTTAGGAAAATATAAATTAAAAAAATGTAAAAGGTGAATGACTTGTCCCAAACCCCATGCTAGTAAGAAAGAGCAGTAAGAATGCAGAATTCAGCAAGTTAGTCTTTTATATAAATCTGTCTTGAATGAATGGTTTATGAACAATCTTTGCGTTCTACTTTAGATGATCCAGGAGTTAAAATGTATAACAAAAGAGATCATTCAGAAATATTTACGAAAGGATTTATCACAGGATTCTTACAATGGCATGCTCCATATTATTCCATCTAGAAACAGCTGTTCCTTCTGAAGCTTGCTGAGAAGTCTGTGTCACAAATGACAGGTACCTCTATGTAAATGCTTGTACCATAAACGTGCAAACATGTGCATAGGCCAAATTCCTTATATTGTTTCTATTGGTTACATTTAAGAAGAAATATCAGTCATATGGCTTTCAAAGCAATTATTAACTTCATTTTTTAATACATATTAAATATTCCTTGGGCCCATACCAAGTGTTGAGTTTTTTTTTTTTTTTTTTTAAGATGGAGTTTCGCTCTGGTTGCCCAGGCTGGAGTGCAATGGCACAATCTCAGCTCACTGCAACCTCCGCCTCCCGGGTTCAAGCAATTCTCCTGCCTCAGCCTTCCGAGTCGCTGGGATTACAGGCATGTGCCACCATGCCTGGCTAATTTTGTGTTTTTACTAGAGACAGGGTTTCTCCATGTTGGACAGACTGGTATTAAACTCCCAACCTCACGTGATCTGTCCACCTCAGCCTCCCAAAGTATTGGGATTACAGGCGTGAGCTACCGTGCCCAGCCACGTTGAGTATTTTGGAGAAGGTTAAAAAGATGTGTTCCAATGAGAACAACGATTAATGAAAAGTGAGCTGCACAGCTATAACTATGTTTTCATAGTTGCTGTCTACTCTCAAAACTTAATCTTTACACTTATGCATACTCTGTGCTCCTCACTTTCTCACCGGGTATACGTTCAGGAGGGCAAGGATTGTGTCTAGGTTCTCTGCTCTATCTTTCTGCATGTAGAAAACATTCAACCAATTCTTTTTTTTTTTTTTTTTTTTTTTTTTTTTTTTTTTT